GTTTCAGTAGAACCAAACTGAATTGTAATTGTCCAGTTTGTTGGGCAATCTGCAGAAATTAACAAAAAAACATATTAGTTACATTAATAATTGAAGAAGGCATTAACACAACTAAAACTACGTAGCAAAAAGCAAGTAAAATATCTGAATTATAAAATGGTGACAACCGTCAATTTACATAAATGACAAATAATCATAGATGACATTAATTTAAGGTAAGGACTATAGATATTTAGTAAGGGCAAAACCACAGATGCACAACTTCTGCTGGAACAATAGATAATTGATAAAATACCATAGATCCACTTTAACCTCAACTTATGCTGTTGGCAAAAATTGTTAAGAAATACCTTAATAGAAGATTAATAGAGCAATTTAAATTATGTCATGCATTCTCACCTTAATAGACTGCAGCCAAATCCATGAAGGCTACCACGGCAGACAAATCCGTTGATTCAGTGGTTTCCAAATTAATTTCCAGTTGCTTCTCTCTCACAGGCTCGAAATTAACTGTATTGTAGGAAGACATCAAAAGCACTGGTGGTTTCAGTAGCACCAAAAGTACTTGGAACTCCATCTCATTTGTTGGGCAATCTATAGAGATGGACAAGAAAATGTAATTAATTACTAGTAAGGCAAATTAGTAAGTCAGTTATATTTTAATGTGCTGGTGTGGTGGTACAGTAAGGAAACTAACTTTCGCACTGAAGGAAAGGTGAATTTCACATTAATTCTGCTGTTCTGTTTCTGTCATTTCTGAAAAGACATTTAAAAGTTGTCTACTGAAAGTATGTTACAAATATCTAAGAAATTGAAGTTTCTGAGAACTCATTTACAATTTTTAATTGATAAGTGTTACATACCGGTTCATTGTCATAAATCGTTCCTTTAGCAACACCAAGGGGAAGAAACAGTAATTAGACTTCGCTTTTTTATATTTCGATTCCTTCTCATTTGTCTTCGTTTTCATCTATTATGCTTGTTGAAACAATATAATAATATAATATTCATATTGGAGGGATTTGTTAATGTTATTGATAATGATTATTACCATCGTTAACATCCTGTGCTTTCAGAATTTTCCGCCCAGTTCGTTAGAAGCATCGTTTGAAAAAAAAAAAAAGTCACTGCCACAACTACATCTGTAAATGAGTAATTTGTCCGTCTAATCCAAGGTTGTTATCTTATCTCCCAGGTCAAACCTACATTGTAGAAAAATAAGAAGAGCCATTAAAATTCAATGTATCAAATAACAATTTCAGTAGAAATAAAGATTTTTAAAGACAGGATATTTTTGAGTAATACTTTTTATCTATATGTATATTCAAATATATACATGATTCCTTGGAGACGTGGTTACGTTAATATGAAAAATCTACAATCATCATCTCAATCCATAATCAAAATTTAGAAAATCCAGCAAAACAATAATTATTCAACTTCAAATAACATATCCTCATATTTAAATAAAAATAAAATAATGAATTAAGACTAAATACCTTCAGGTGTCCTTTCCGAGTATGAACTTACGAACAGCAAACATGGCAATGGCTACTCTTCAAAAATCTGCAGTAGAAGATATCCCACGCCAGGGCGGAAGTGTTCCGTAGAGACATGATAGAGAAGTTGATTTCTGTGATTGTCCTTTAGTTCATCAATTTTCCACTAATAGTCATAAATTATTCATTTCGTTATTCGTCATGGAAATCATCTAGTAGCAGTAGTTTCAGATATTTAAAACAACTACAGTCCTCGATTATATGATTATGAAACAATAATTCGAATTTTTAAAGTGAAAAACACAAAACAATTCAATTTACATTTTCAAACCAATAGCCAGGAGCCGGAAGTAGTGCCAATTGTACAACTATAGGTATACTATAAGCATGAACTATAGTAATGTCAAAGTCATAGATAAGACATACCTATAAAGTTAGTGGATCAGTCATAGATAATAGATATACAAAGGGATCAGTCAATGCAGAGTCCATCAAAACTAAATCAAAACGATGGAAAGGTTTATCTTTTTTGAAGAGAACGAAATGGTGCACTTTAATTTTTGAAATAAGAAGTAATTTTATAACTATGCTCTATTTGTCGAAAATTTGTAATCTTCTTATGACAATTTACCGCATTTTCAAATAAAAACAATTTTAAAAAATTTCTAGGGATTTCAAAACGTATATGAAGCTTATACAACCCAACATACATCAATGCACCATAATATATTCCTATATGTAAAATCTATTACGAAAAATCTATATAGAAGCATATTTTATGAGAACAATGATTTTCATTTTCAAGAAGAAATAAAATCTGAATTAATGAAAATGGTTTACAATTCTATTAACAGAAAGGCGAACAAATCTCTTTCGATTTGTAGCAATCATTTTGAAACTTAAATAGTAAAACTTCACCGTTAATAAATGCAGAATCTTTCACATAGGGAAATAGAAAGGCCATTGGTGTTAGCATTCATTGGTCAAACTGTAAAGAGAAAAGAACAGATGTAGATAAATTTATTTTGCACTAATAAATTGATAGGCACCAAACAAATAAATGCATATGTAAAATGTATATAATGGTTATTCAAAATGCAAAATGGAAACTGTGGCAAACGATAAACAACTAATAAGAGTGACTCACCTAAAATTTTATTGTCTCTGGTTGATAACGCGCACATTCGTTGTGGGTGAAACATATTTTAAAGAAAGTTGAAACGATAAAAATATTGGTAGAGCGTACGATTTTGTAACGACCGTACTTACTACCCTCATTGAAATTCCTTTTTGGAATCCAATTTTGTTTTATTCTCGATTTTTGTGCATGCAGATAATTACAGTTCGTAGAAAAATACATTTCATTTAATCTAATAACTACTTACGGTTAACACTGCCTATTCTAAATGCTTATTAAAAAATTATCTTAAACACTTGGTTGCAAATACTATATACAATGATTATTGCGTTGAAATTCTTGTTTTTATATTCGTATATTTCATCGCATACTTCCATTATGTAAGTCCTGTGACGTTGGTGTCTACAGAAAACAGGAATTTGTTGTTGTTACAACAATGATAATTATCAGTATCGTACCTTTCAATTATTAAATTAACAGTCTTTTGGTAAGTAGATTCGCAGTCCAATTCCAAATATGAAAAAGATTTTATTACGGCTGTTTCTAAACTGGTTGCCAATACAATTACATCACCGTTAAAACGTTTAAAAGTTGCGTCCAGTTGAGATCGAATCTGTAAAACACGACTTTTTTTAAGAGTATTGCCCCTNGGAACTCCATCTCATTTGTTGGGCAATCTATAGAGATGGACAAGAAAATGTAATTAATTACTAGTAAGGCAAATTAGTAAGTCAGTTATATTTTAATGTGCTGGTGTGGTGGTACAGTAAGGAAACTAACTTTCGCACTGAAGGAAAGGTGAATTTCACATTAATTCTGCTGTTCTGTTTCTGTCATTTCTGAAAAGACATTTAAAAGTTGTCTACTGAAAGTATGTTACAAATATCTAAGAAATTGAAGTTTCTGGGAACTCATTTACAATTTTTAATTGATAAGTGTTACATACCGGTTCATTGTCATAAATCCTTCCTTTAGCAACACCAAGGGGAGGAAACAGTAATTAGACTTCGCTTTTTCATATTTCGATTCCTTCTCATTTGTCTTCGTTTTCATCTATTATGCTTGTTGAAACAATATAATAATATAATATTCATATTGGAGGGATTTGTTAATGTTATTGATAATGATTATTACCATCGTTAACATCCTGTGCTTTCAGAATTTTCCGCCCAGTTCGTTAGAAGCATCGTTTGAAAAAAAAAAAAAGTCACTGCCACAACTACATCTGTAAATGAGTAATTTGTCCGTCTAATCCAAGGTTGTTATCTTATCTCCCAGGTCAAACCTACATTGTAGAAAAATAAGAAGAGCCATTAAAATTCAATGTATCAAATAACAATTTCAGTAGAAATAAAGATTTTTAAAGACAGGATATTTTTGAGTAATACTTTTTATCTATATGTATATTCAAATATATACATGATTCCTTGGAGACGTGGTTACGTTAATATGAAAAATCTACAATCATCACCTCAATCAATATTCAAAATTTAGAAAATCTAGCAAAACAATAATTATTCAACTTCAAATAACATATCCTCATATTTAAATAAAAATAAAATAATGAATTAAGACTAAATACCTTCAGGTGTCCTTTCCGAGTATGAACTTACGAACAGCAAACATGGCAATGGCTACTCTTCAAAAATCTGCAGTAGAAGATATCCCACGCCAGGGCGGAAGTGTTCCGTAGAGACATGATAGAGAAGTTGATTTCTGTGATTGTCCTTTAGTTCATCAATTTTCCACTAATAGTCATAAATTATTCATTTCGTTATTCGTCATGGAAATCATCTAGTAGCAGTAGTTTCAGATATTTAAAACAACTACAGTCCTCGATTATATGATTATGAAACAATAATTCGAATTTTTAAAGTGAAAAACACAAAACAATTCAATTTACATTTTCAAACCAATAGCCAGGAGCCGGAAGTAGTGCCAATTGTACAACTATAGGTATACTATAAGCATGAACTATAGTAATGTCAAAGTCATAGATAAGACATACCTATAAAGTTAGTGGATCAGTCATAGATAATAGATATACAAAGGGATCAGTCAATGCAGAGTCCATCAAAACAATCAAAACGATGGAAAGGTTTATCTTTTTTGAAGAGAACGAAATGGTGCACTTTAATTTTTGAAATAAGAAGTAATTTTATAACTATGCTCTATTTGTCGAAAATTTGTAATCTTCTTATGACAATTTACCGCATTTTCAAATAAAAACAATTTTAAAAAATTTCTAGGGATTTCAAAACGTATATGAAGCTTATACAACCCAACATACATCAATGCACCATAATATATTCCTATATGTAAAATCTATTACGAAAAATCTATATAGAAGCATATTTTATGAGAACAATGATTTTCATTTTCAAGAAGAAATAAAATCTGAATTAATGAAAATGGTTTACAATTCTATTAACAGAAAGGCGAACAAATCTCTTTCGATTTGTAGCAATCATTTTGAAACTTAAATAGTAAAACTTCACCGTTAATAAATGCAGAATCTTTCACATAGGGAAATAGAAAGGCCATTGGTGTTAGCATTCATTGGTCAAACTGTAAAGAGAAAAGAACAGATGTAGATAAATTTATTTTGCACTAATAAATTGATAGGCACCAAACAAATAAATGCATATGTAAAATGTATATAATGGTTATTCAAAATGCAAAATGGAAACTGTGGCAAACGATAAACAACTAATAAGAGTGACTCACCTAAAATTTTATTGTCTCTGGTTGATAACGCGCACATTCGTTGTGGGTGAAACATATTTTAAAGAAAGTTGAAACGATAAAAATATTGGTAGAGCGTACGATTTTGTAACGACCGTACTTACTACCCTCATTGAAATTCCTTTTTGGAATCCAATTTTGTTTTATTCTCGATTTTTGTGCATGCAGATAATTACAGTTCGTAGAAAAATACATTTCATTTAATCTAATAACTACTTACGGTTAACACTGCCTATTCTAAATGCTTATTAAAAAATTATCTTAAACACTTGGTTGCAAATACTATATACAATGATTATTGCGTTGAAATTCTTGTTTTTATATTCGTATATTTCATCGCATACTTCCATTATGTAAGTCCTGTGACGTTGGTGTCTACAGAAAACAGGAATTTGTTGTTGTTACAACAATGATAATTATCAGTATCGTACCTTTCAATTATTAAATTAACAGTCTTTTGGTAAGTAGATTCGCAGTCCAATTCCAAATATGAAAAAGATTTTATTACGGCTGTTTCTAAACTGGTTGCCAATACAATTACATCACCGTTAAAACGTTTAAAAGTTGCGTCCAGTTGAGATCGAATCTGTAAAACACGACTTTTTTTAAGAGTATTGCCCCTAACGACTAAGAATAGCCTTTAGCGGTTTAAGAAAAATTTATTAACGTCGACATCAACGGAGATTTCTTTGAATTTTTTAGCTGCGATCAAGTTTTTATTTGATCTTGTTGACCATGTTTAAATATGCAAGTTTTTGTCTTAAAGTTTAAAGACCTTTGAAAATTAATATAAAGTCTGCATCTTCTAACTTTTAAACCAAAAATTAAATTTCCTGGCTTAGTTTCTATACAATTATTAAATTTTTTAAGAAGTATTTACCTGATTTTCGTATCGTTTCCGAGTGTTAGATGATAATTTTTCGTTCGTTACAAAATCAATTGAAACAGATGTGTCGTGAAGATGATCACAGTTAGAAACTTTGCTTTCAGATCTTGAAATTGCTGTAGATTGCTGTTCAAACGAGTTCTCTCCCACGTTTCGGATACTTCTCAAAAAAGTATCTACTGTTTCTGAAAAGGCAACCAATTTCTCTTGAAATCTATTATTAAAAGAAAAATAAATAATTATTTTAACATGATATGTTAGGAAAACCAATTTTAAACGACTTACTTTCCTTTTTCCCAATTTTGTAGCCTTGCCATACCTTCTTCTTTTAGTATTATCAAGTTCGATACATTGAGATCGACGCAAATTTCTTGAATTTCTTCGATATTAAGGGCATCAATTATACTAGCACGGATTCCTGCAGACCATAGATCCTTCACAATCTACAAAATAAACAATAATGTTGACCCTTTTTCAAAGCTATGTAGTACATACTTTATTTTATATAATACAAACATACTTGGGCTTTTTCGTTAACAAAGTTTTTCGGGCCAAGAGAACACACGATAGCATCTAGAAGCGTCATTTCGTCGTAGTTTTCTTCTTGAACGGCCTGCACCAGTTTGTCCAGTGAAATCGATATACCAACTGCGTGCTGTTCAATCTCCTTATTCAAGGTGTTGGCCTGTTCCTTAATGTTACGATAACTCCTAATCATATTATCATAACGCCCACCAGCAGCTATAACCTCATACACGTGCCTCTTACGCTTCTTAAACTCTCCCAGGAATTGGCACATCATACCTGAATATTGGGAAATGTTGTACACAAGGCCAGGAGTCACAATAATATTGTACTACAATTTAAAAAGAAAAATGATTGGCTAAATTATAAAATCAGCAATATAAAAGATTTACCGATACTCCCAGTGATTCTGCGTTGTTTATGATAATCTTCAGGTCCTGCAGAGCTTGCTTCGCTAGCTGAGCAGCCTCATTAGACCTTTTCCTTGTTATTGACTGCAAAATACTATTTATTTTTGATAGGGGTTGTTCCAATTCAATCAAATTAAAGAGGGTTGCAATGGAATTGTCTGAGAGACCGAGGCTCATCAAATGTGTTCTTATCTGTATATTTTTTGACTTGCTTTCCTTAAAAAAAGGAAATTCAAAATAAATTAAAAAAAAAAAAACAGCGTTATGGGTACCTTAGCTTCTGATAAAACTTTATAAATGTTCTCGTGGCCTTCCTTAATTCCACAGTGCAATAATATGGCTTTTAGAAGAAGTGTGTGGTTGATTCTTATAATAAAGTTTTTATTTCTGAGACCTGGAAGTTCTTCCAAAATTTCACAAACTAAGTGTAACACTTCACCATCCGACGCCAAATTATCTGAAAACAACAAAATGTCATAATTTAATAAGTTATAATTTTACTGAATAAAAATTACCATAAAGTGGATTGACAATATCAAAAGCACACTCGTACAGTTCCCGCGGATGAAACCCAAAAACCTTTTTCTCCCTATAAACCCTATCTACAGAATACCTTCTTAAAAGTGTAATTTCGTTCCATGCAACATATCGTGCGAATGGGACTCTAAAAATTAATTCCATTATGTCTTCTATTTTGGCACAACATAGTATCAAGTATCATATGTAATTAATTCCTGTTTAAATAATATTTTTAATTGATTATTACTGATTAAGTTAACGATTAATTACCAAAAAGTCTATATATTTATACATATTAAATATCTAAGAGCAACTATTAAGGTAAATTTAAAACAGTCTGTACATACTGAAAATACAGTCAAAAAACTTAAATTATTTATTATTTGTTTTCTCAAAACTAAAAAAAGCAATCTCTGTAGGATTATTAAATACATTGTGGTATATGTGACTGATACAACAAAATAAAATAAAAATAAGCAAAGCCAATAACAAGAAAATTATTAATTCATTTTACCTTAAATCGTGGGGTAAAGATACAATGCTACCAGCGTGAGTCATTAATTTAACACAAGATTCCGAAGTCTCATAATATTTACTCTTCGGAATTAGTAATGGTGTAGTTATATTCTGTCCTCCATGCAATTTAAATATCTGTAATATATATCTTAGCAATAGAAAAAGAAATGAAAGAAGAATCCAATAATACATTTACCTTTACAACAGTCTCTTTTACTAACTCGCACACCTGCAACGATTTTATAGAACTCACGGCAGGAAGGTCCATGTCATAAGTAAGGTCTTGAGCAGGTGTAACAGTTTGATCGAAGCACGAGGCAATCAAAAATTTGTAAGATTTCAACTGTGGATTGTTTAAAGTATGTCTAAACATATCCCTAAGTTTCTCATNTCACTGGTTCTTCTTCTAAAAACAATATTATTATTATTACATTTTATTTTATAAAATTACCAAATTTTAATACATATCAGAAACATCTTCTGTGTTGCTGCTGTCTGAACTGTACCGCTCTTTCTTCTTTTTATGTTCTAATTTCAAAATTTCTTGTTTTTTATTAAATTCATTCAAAATTCCTTCCCTCTGAAAAACAGTATTACAATTAAGTGTTATTAATATTTTAAATAATACAATCAGAATTAGTTACCAGAAAGTTTCCACAAAAAAACATTTTTGAACAGTTACCTCTTTTTCTCTTTCTTTCTGTTTCGCCAGCTGTTTTTCTTTTTCCTTTTCTTGTTGCCTTTTGAGCATTTCATCATAAAAGCTTTCTGAACCTGGTTTGTTGTGTTCATGTAAAAATGCCTGTACATAGTTTGCAAGTTGAAAAATCATCACTTCTCCAATATAATTACTAGCCTTTTCTTCTAAATTTTTCTGAAGCTCATGCAATACAGTCTTTGACATTCCCTTAGCATTTTCCAATAATAGTTGTGGGGCTCTTAAAGTAAGTAGATTAAGTTTAGTTTAAATAATTAAATAAATAACTTAATTGAACTTTGTAAATGAAAATACTTCACACTTACTCATTGGGATAGTCTTCAGAACAGATAACATGTAAGTTTACTGACACGTAGGCTTCTTTTGGAGTAGAACTGCCTTTTAGTGGAGAAAGAGCTATGATAATGTTCAGAGGCTGCCACAAATTCCACGCTTGTTTTTCTCTTACATCTACAATATCCTCACCATATATTGCCTAAAAAGAATCATGTAAGTTCATAAAACGTAAAAATTATTATTTTCAAGTTACTAAAAGAGCTTCTAATTCAAATTCTTGACGTTCTTTTGTGGTCTCCTCAACTGCCATTTTACCTTCCTAAACTCGTTAGCAATAACATTCCTCCTAAACCAATGTCTTCTGAGACTACTAATATAACTAAATGGGATTACAAAAGCACTAATTTGCATCAATAAATAACACAAACATCTACAAAGTTTAAAAAATTATGCTTGTAATTAATTTTTTATAAATATAACCTCCATTTGTCAAAAATTACGAATGGTTGCAAAAATCAGAAAGCCAACAAAACCAAAATTAAAAACCACAGAAGTACGACGTAACAGACTACCATAGATTAATGGATTACTAAAAAGTGATCCATTTCAAAATATTAATATCCTATTTTATTAATTCGTAATTTTTGATACGTACTCTTAATAAAATTGTTTTTTGTATATAAAAAACGAAGTTTATGAAATACTTTTTCATAGATCAATAAATTTCAATATTATTCTGGTGGAACTATAGACATTACACAAACATGTGTAATAAATATTAAAAGGCACAACAGTTCTCCAATAATGGTAATTAATATCATTTTAAAAAAGTAATTAATCTACTGACCATAACTGGATTTGTTGCATTAAAACGGTATGAAATTTAGATAGTCTTATAAGTATTGTAAATTGGAACATATCTTAATTTCTACCGAGTATGGGGAAATTAGTAACGACTAAGTTGGCTATAATACGTTTTCCACAGTTTTTTGTCACCGCTTGTCTGTTTCATGTTGATTTGGTGATTAAATACGTTGTTAATTAGTAATTCTTGCAGATTTAGCGTTTATAAAGTCATATTAGTGTAAACAAAAATAGTAGTAGTGTTGGTGGACAATTTTACGGGGCCGACTTCAATATGTCGGACGAAAATTATCCAAAAACTTTATACGTAGGAAATTTGGACATTTCAGTTTCGGAGGACCTGCTATGCACACTTTTCTCGCAAATAGGTCCCGTAAAGGGCGTAAAAATAATACGCGAACCCGGCAACGATCCATATGCTTTCGTTGAGTTTACAAATCATCAATCGGCATCTACTGCATTAGCCGCAATGAATAAGCGAGTGTTTTTAATGAATGNATAACGCCCACCAGCAGCTATAACCTCATACACGTGCCTCTTACGCTTCTTAAACTCTCCCAGGAATTGGCACATCATACCTGAATATTGGGAAATGTTGTACACAAGGCCAGGAGTCACAATAATATTGTACTACAATTTAAAAAGAAAAATGATTGGCTAAATTATAAAATCAGCAATATAAAAGATTTACCGATACTCCCAGTGATTCTGCGTTGTTTATGATAATCTTCAGGTCCTGCAGAGCTTGCTTCGCTAGCTGAGCAGCCTCATTAGACCTTTTCCTTGTTATTGACTGCAAAATACTATTTATTTTTGATAGGGGTTGTTCCAATTCAATCAAATTAAAGAGAGTTGCAATGGAATTGTCTGAGAGACCGAGGCTCATCAAATGTGTTCTTATCTGTATATTTTTTGACTTGCTTTCCTTAAAAAAAGGAAATTCAAAATAAATTAAAAAAAAAAAAACAGCGTTATGGGTACCTTAGCTTCTGATAAAACTTTATAAATGTTCTCGTGGCCTTCCTTAATTCCACAGTGCAATAATATGGCTTTTAGAAGAAGTGTGTGGTTGATTCTTATAATAAAGTTTTTATTTCTGAGACCTGGAAGTTCTTCCAAAATTTCACAAACTAAGTGTAACACTTCACCATCCGACGCCAAATTATCTGAAAACAACAAAATGTCATAATTTAATAAGTTATAATTTTACTGAATAAAAATTACCATAAAGTGGATTGACAATATCAAAAGCACACTCGTACAGTTCCCGCGGATGAAACCCAAAAACCTTTTTCTCCCTATAAACCCTATCTACTGAATACCTTCTTAAAAGTGTAATTTCGTTCCATGCAACATATCGTGCGAATGGGACTCTAAAAATTAATTCCATTATGTCTTCTATTTTGGCACAACATAGTATCAAGTATCATATGTAATTAATTCCTGTTTAAATAATATTTTTAATTGATTATTACTGATTAAGTTAACGATTAATTACCAAAAAGTCTATATATTTATACATATTAAATATCTAAGAGCAACTATTAAGGTAAATTTAAAACAGTCTGTACATACTGAAAATACAGTCAAAAAACTTAAATTATTTATTATTTGTTTTCTCAAAACTAAAAAAAGCAATCTCTGTAGGATTATTAAATACATTGTGGTATATGTGACTGATACAACAAAATAAAATAAAAATAAGCAAAGCCAATAACAAGAAAATTATTAATTCATTTTACCTTAAATCGTGGGGTAAAGATACAATGCTACCAGCGTGAGTCATTAATTTAACACAAGATTCAGAAGTCTCATAATATTTACTCTTCGGAATTAGTAATGGTGTAGTTATATTCTGTCCTCCATGCAATTTAAATATCTGTAATATATATCTTAGCAATAGAAAAAGAAATGAAAGAAGAATCCAATAATACATTTACCTTTACAACAGTCTCTTTTACTAACTCGCACACCTGCAACGATTTTATAGAACTCACGGCAGGAAGGTCCATGTCATAAGTAAGGTCTTGAGCAGGTGTAACAGTTTGATCGAAGCACGAGGCAATCAAAAATTTGTAAGATTTCAACTGTGGATTGTTTAAAGTATGTCTAAACATATCCCTAAGTTTCTCCTCTTCCAGAACGGGAGCAGGTATCAGCTCAGATTGGAGAAGTTCTTGGGAAGTTGGTCTCTGAGAAACGTCATGATTTAAAAGCCACCTAAAAGCATATGTTTCAAATGAAATGTTTTCGCCTAAAAAATGTATAATATAAAACTTACTTTATAACAGATTCTTGCTTCTTATGTGACTTGCTTTCGAAATCACCTGGCAGTATTATTTCGGCAGTACGGAGGCTGGAAAGAACTTTCATACGTTCCATTTGCGTTTTTAAGGGTTTGTAGCACATTTCAAAAAATATAATACCTGAAAAACATAAATAAATAAGATGTAGTTAATTGTTCTTTAGACATATCTAAATAAATATTCTAAGGAGGAACTGGGGCTATGCAAATAAAATAGTGTACTGAATAGAAAAACATTATATTTTTACCTAAACTGTAAATGTCGACTCTTTGATCATAGACCGTTTTTGTTATAGTATTCAGTTCTGGAGCTGTGTACAAAGCAGTTCCAACTTGTCCAGTCAGAGAACCGTCTTCCATTGACGGCAATGACTTATCGTTATCTGGAAACAATAAATTTCCCAAAAATTAAATATCTCTTGCTATTTCTAAGACTTGCCATTCAAGCTTTTACTGCCGACAATGTCTTGTCTACAAAACAAATTCGTAGTTGCCAGACCAAAATCACCAATTTTTACGTGATCATTAGAGTCCAGAAAAATGTTCACAGGTTTCAAATCCCGATGTATCATACCCTGTTGATGAATATGAGCCAGACCTACGAAAATTTCTATTAAAAGGGGCCCCGGATTTATATAAGAAAATGAACAGTAAAGGAATACCTTCAACGATTTCTCTAAACAATCTCCAAACGCGATTCATGTCCGTGTAAAGGTCGGCATCGATGGCAGTTCTTAAAGTGCTTTTTTCACAGAATTCCATCTGAATATACAAAAACTGAATTTCACGGGAATTCTGAAAAGTTTCTGTCGTGATATTTGCATTTGACTGACTGACGTTGTTTTTAGTTTTCATACTTTTATCTGCAGAACTGTTATCTTCAAACTTAACACTTTCTGAATCTGATTCTATTTCTAATCTGAAAAAAGTTTATCGTTATCCAAACCAAAGAATACATATGTTTCATACCTGAAGCCCCAATCAGCTTCCTCACTGGAGTCCTCGTCAGAGGAACTACTGGAATTTACAGCATTTGCATGTGATTTACCATCATAACTGATAGACCATTCGACGTTTTTAATTGGAGGTGCAAGCATTTCGACATCGTTTTTAAACGTTAACTGAAGTAGACCGACAAAAATATTTTTAGATCCTTATTTTAAATTTCTATAACTTACTTCTTTGGGTTTTACCACTCTAGGAATATTGAAAATGGTACCATCTGAACTGGTGTTGCTTCTATCAGTTTCTTCTTGAAGGATAGCAGATTCAATCCAGGCATTGTAATATCTCACAACATTTTCATGATTTAATTTTGACAATAATTTTACTTCTCTTGTAATTTTCTTGTTCAGCTGTTTACTTCTTGGATTTAATTCTATTCGTTTTATTGCATAGTAGCCACCATCCAATTTATTTCTTACCTAATAATTGTAAATATCATTTTGAAAAAAACTAACAAATCATTTGTACCTTTATAACGTCTCCAAAGGCACCCTTTCCTATGTACATGAGCACCTCGAATTCGGTTTCGACCCGCGAAGGACCGCTTGAAATGGCGTTATTGAATAATTTAAATTCAGACGAAAAAGGCTCAGATGGGGCAGCACTCTGGGATGTAACATCGTTATGGTCATGTTTCGGAAAGAATTTTTCCAAGGGCGCTCGAATGAAAATATGATTTAGCAACTGAGTGGCAGTAGAACGTTCTTTTTCCTCTTTGGCTAAGCATCTTGAAAATTAAAGTTAACTAAATGAAAATATGAAATTCGTATGAATGTACCTTGACAGAAAATCGCGAAAATCTAACGAAACTGAAGTTGGATAAGCGATTTTCTCTTCAGAAACGGCTTGTCCCCTGAAAAGACTTAATATGGCGAGTCCAAACATAAAAATGTCACTTTTCTTATTCAGAGAAGACGGCGTTTGAGACGTTTTTACCAAATCAGAAAGCCTTTTACTTAAACTGTGATTTCCTAACTTAATGATTCCTGAAAGAAACAATTATTACATTATTTAACTTTCTTATAATGTATAAATACCGTCATTGCAAAAATACATATTAGACAGTGAGATTTCTTTGTGAACAACGCTGTTGCGATGCAAAAACTCAATGGCATTCAATACATTCGTTGCAATATGTCTTATCATGTCTAAATCAACTGGTAAATTTTGACTTAGAAACAATGAAGAACAATTTAGTCCTGTAACAGTAATAATGAATAAATAACGAATAACAATTTAGAATTAATAAAAATAATTCAATACTTACCAAATGCAAATTCTCTCAGGACATAGACAATTACCTTGTTTTGTTCTTCCTTTGTAACGTGTTTTATGTTTAAATATTTTACAATATTAACATGTTTTAATTTAAATAGATAATTGCATTCTTGCTCAATACTATTTATTTGTCTTGAAATTTGAACGTAATCATTTTTCAATGGAACACACCATTCAGAAATTACATAAAACTCGCCAGTTGCCAAGTCTAAGCCTTTGTACAAAATACTATTTTTATTCAATGAATGGTCTGAAAATTTTAATTTTAAATTAAATTGTACAAAAATGGAAAACCTAATAACTTACTTATACATTTTCCTCGTTGAATTTCTTGAAAGCCATTATTTGAAAACTCAATTGTTTCAGTCCCTTTACAGTCACAAGAAAATGAATCTATTTCACTGGTTCTTCTTCTAAAAACAATTTTATTATTATTACATTTTATTTTA